CTGGGTGTATTCACGGAACGTGGGTCGCCTCAGGCCCCTGCAAATGTTTGCATTTTCACTCCAAATCTACAAGCAATGACATGTTCCAAATGAGACAAAAGAATTGTCCGCAAAGTTTGGTTCCTGAAGCTAATCAGGCTACACACACACATCCCTCCCGGAGGAGGGCATGTTATCAGCAGAGCTCATCGCAGCTCAATAAAGAGCGTCTAAGAACAAGGCCTTGGTTAGTAATAATGGGACAGGAAAAGAGAGAGGAGAGAGGAGAGAGAGAGAGAGAGAGGGAGAGAGAGGAACCTGACAAGGATGCCTAAACCACAACCAGGCCACGAAGAGCACAGCGAAGAAGGAGACAAAGAGGAATGCGGCAAAGAGGTACAGGTAGAACTGCCTGCGTGGCCCGCAGAATAGCGACCCAGTAGTTCCCAAGCGAAAATAACGAGCCTGTTTAAACCCAAGGGCCCAAAAACCGACACCGAACACCCGCCCAAGCCCTCCCGCGACGAAACTAAGAAACCCACTAAACCACAACCAGGCCTTGAGGTGGCAGACGAATGGGAAGAGGCAGAAGACAAAGTCGCGGAAGAAGGCGGAACTAAGTTAGGGGGCGACCCCGAGAGAGCCTTGAGCCTGTTTTCAGGAGCCTAAACCCAAAACACGACACGAAAACGAAAAAGGAAAGAAAAGAGAACGAAAAAGACCCACCCCGAGGCCGACAACCTCACCCAACCCACCGTCCCGGTCGACCCGAACCCCGTAAGTAATGACTAAACCACAACCTTGCCTACTACAGGAGGAAGAAGAAGACCGTGGCACGGAAGATGATATCCCGGCCTCAATCTCTTCACTGAGGCGGTGGAGCCCTTATTGGCTCAAAAGCCGGCTGTACTGTACCTGGCACATCGGCCACCACCGGCGCTGCGGTCCTGCTTAATGCTGATGTTGCCTTGACCACCTCGTCTAGACTTCTCGAGTGATGGCTATCGGAGCGCATCTTGGCTTCGGGCCACTCACTCCTTCCCCCTCGTTGTGTCGGACAACGAGCCGACCCGAGGCACAAGCGGGCACACGGGTACCCCGTTAGGGGTCACACTGGCATATCAGAACTCCCCGCGGCGATTGTGCATGTTCAAGGTTCGACGCTTGGTAGGCCACGTGCTGCCAAAGATCTGCTGCTGACCGAAACTATTTTCATGCAAATACAGACATACAAATCCTACATGCAAACTGCCATGATTTGGGGGTGGGGGCCACCAGCTGTCATGAAGGACCCAAGTGCACCCCCTGAGGTTGCCAGCTGCCACGCCAGGCCCAAGCCAACCTCCCCCCTGCAGGTACGTTTTCCTGGGAGGGGTGGGGGAGCTTCGTTGGACAGGGCTCCCCACCCCTCCCCCTGTCCCCCTGCATGCATGCATGTTTCCAAACTGCGCTAATTTTATTCCTGAAGCAAATCAGGCGCCACTCACACTTGCTTTTAGCTCTCAATTGGGCTCCTCAGATGCACGGACTGCATGAACTAAACCCACAATATGGAGTGTTTACTGTCCGTTGTCCCAGTTTTTTTGCAATTTTAGGCCCTTGGCTAATGGTTGCACGAAGCTTGTGCCAGCATTCGGGCACAGAGTCCAGCTAAAATCCTTTTCCACCGGGATACTGTTGTACTGTTTCACAGTTATCTATGTAGTTGTGCTTCCCAAAAGCAGTCCATATCCAAAACTCCGACAACCGCAACCCAACGACGCAGGCGTCCAAATCCTGGCAAGCCCAGCCCACCTCAGCCCCACATGAAGCGTAAAAAAAGACAACCCACACCCCAGTCCGAGATAACGGAGACAAGGGTAGACAAGTTCAAAACCACGCCAAGGGAGATAAGGAAAGACAAGCATCCAAAACCCTGCCAACTCCAATCCGCCCAGCCACACATGAAGGGAGACAAAGGAAGACAAGATCCCAAGACCACAGCAACCCTGACCCATGCCCCAACGGACCCCAGCCACCCGTGACCGGCGACAAGGGGAGACAAGTGCAAGAGCTCTTTCGATCGGAATTTAACTTTTCTTAGATGAGTTTTGGACGTGGCCACCTGGAGGCCTGGGCGGTGGGCGGTGTGGAAGGGGAGGCAAGGGGACGAGAAGTGACAAACATCGAGCTGCTTGAGTTTGGGACCATGGCACACGAACATGCAATTGAACAAGTCACACATGCCCTACTTCC